CTATTTTATTAACATGCTAAGGTAAGAAGTCCAAATCTAAACAACTAGATTGGTTTTCTAAATAAATATTCAAATTATGAAACAAGTTTTATCACATAATGGTCAATTTTAATAAAGGTTGGTTTTAGACAGATTATCTAAGGAATTCGGCCATATTAGCATGTTTCACATGTTTCAAGCAACATGGGCAGATTTTATAGCAATCACATGTAATGAAATAAATAAGTAAAAGAACTGTTAGCACGTAATTCCCCCTCCTCCTTAAACGGTCCCCCAAGTTATTTCACATATATATAGAGAGAGAGTTAAAGTTACACAACAATATTATTACATAAACATAATGGCAAATACAAATAATATGGCTAAAAATAAATCTTGTCTCAATGACCCCTCCCAGGCAACTCTTCGAACTCCCGGAACTAAATTCAACCTGCTAAATCAAAGTAGAAGAGTAGGTGGATATAACATATAAAATCACACTTGTACAACAAACTAATTATAAATTAGCTCACAGAATACACCAAATTGGAACAAGTATTTCATTCAAACAAAAATATAAGATCACACATAATAGAGGGAGAACAAAACTGACCCGGATGCTTTCTTTTATTTATTAATACCCAATTTTGGACTTAAGATAGCTAAGATGATGCAGAACAGAAATTAAACATGTATAAAGGATACTAACCAGTTATGCACTAAAAGAAATCAGCAATGAAGATCCACACTTAATCCAATAACCAACCCGAACACAGCAAAATAACAAGTAGAAGCGAGCTTTTTGTTTACCGGAAAACTTAATTCTTTTAAAGAGTAGAGAGCGATATATTTTTAGTATTTTCGAGTGTAAGCCAATCTCTGAATCAAATAATGAAAGGAGGGATCCTTTTTTATAGTCAAGGGGAGGGGGCACAAATAAGGAAAATGGATAAATCAATTTAAAAAAATTAGTTTTCCTTATCAGAAGAGAACTGAATCGGTCAAATTGCTTTAATTTATTTTTTACCAAATTAAAAACAGTACTAAACTATCTTCTAATTAAGGTAAGGATACAATCAATGAAAAACACGTATATACGAGAAGAACACAATAAGGTAAGGGGAGTAATAAATATGCACCAATTCATTTATTCATGGATTACTATAAATATGACAGGTAAGAATCAGTCAAGACAACTATTAAGGGAAGGAGAGATCAATTTACAACATTATTAATTAATGTAAAATAAAATCCAGCAATAAAATTTTAAGGAAAGAAATAATATACGCCTTTAGACTTACCATGGAGGAGAGATTTCCATGAATTAAGCATAGACAGGCAAGCTAATTAACAATCTATGGAAATCTAGCTCAGCATAATAGCAGGGAAATTATGAACAAAAAATTAATTGAATCAACATATTTAAAGAATCAATTAAGATGCTAAATTAATCAAATATGAGAAATATTACGAGTACAAATTCACACATATAAGGCGATTTGTATGCTAAAATCAATCCAAAATATATCAGACTAACAGTAATATTTCAATAATCGGGAAAAAGCCACATAATTATTTTAGGAAGAGCACACAATTCTCGATCAATTAAGACTTAAATCATGATTTTTCCTTATAGAAATCAATCAAAGGAATTCATAGATTAATAACTTATTTATATAAGAGGAATGTGCAAACCATCAGTTTGAGCAGACTATTTGCAGCAAGTGTACTACAACTTCACAATTTGAAGCTTAGCAGATCATAGCAGGAATAATGAATACGAACTTGAATAACAAATCGGCAGATCACAGTAAAACAATACTCATGGATTCGAATAGAAAATCGGCAGATCATAGTAGAAGTAATGGATAGATTTTAATCACACCAAATACAAGGATAAGAATATAGACTAAATCAGTTTGCAGACAACCTCATGAACTCATGCTTGCATAAGATTTCGACCATTGGGCATTCATATAATTAAACATGTAAAAATTGCACAGAAGACTCAAACGAAATGAGAATTTGTTAGCCCAAACGAGATGATAATTGAAAAAGGGAGTGAACCTGGACAATTTTTTAATTCCGCCGGGGTTCTGCTTTGCTCGCTGCTGCTAGAGCTGGGTGTTCCGTCGGAGCTCGTTTGGGGAAGAGGTGCAGTAACGTCTAGCGGCTGCTGCTTTGTCCGCCGGTTGCTGCTTGCCGTTATTTCTCGCCGGAGGAGAAGAGAGAGAGAGAGAGTCAACAGGAAGGGGAGGAGAAGAGACAAGACGAGGTAGAGAGAGGCTCGTCGGCTCTTGATGGGAGAGAGGGAGGAGGCTGGGCGGTGCTTTTATGGAGAGGAGGGGGAGAAAGAATGGACATTCTTTTAGGGTTTTGATTTTTAAAATAGGAAAGCTGAAAAAATTGATCTCAGGCGTTGAGATAAAAAAGGTGGAGGGCTGAGATTGAATTTTGGAGCTTGATGGACGGACGAGATTAAATGAGGATTTGAAAGTTTTGAATCTGATTTAAAATTGATTGGATTTGGATGGCTAAAAATTGAAATAAAATTGGCTAGAATTGAAATGAAAGGGTGGTCACTATTGAAAAATAATTGGAATTGAATAGGCTAGAATTGAAAGGAATTTGAATAGATTAGGCTAAGATTTAAATAATTTTTAAGGAAGTATAAGGGAATGTGATCCGATTAATATTAAAACATTTTCACATAATTAAACACATCTAATATTTTAAAATATTTACGTAAAATAATTATTTCGAGTTTAACTATCGATAAATATAATTGAAAATAATTTGATAATAATTACAATAATTTTTATAAATCAAGCATACTAAAATATATAATTTTTAGACAAAGTCGACTAAAATTTTAAACTCGAAATATGTTTTAAAAAATACGTATTCAATCGAATAACATTCCCAAAAGGGTTAAAGGTCGGTTAAAATTGGGAGTCAACATTAGAAAAAATGGAGTTACATCGAACTTCTTTGTCAAATTTATAACTGATTTTTTTTTATTGAAGAACACCTTACATTTACATAATATATATATATATATATATATATTGGTTTAAAGAAATAAATTTCAAACTTCTATTCTCTACAAATTAAATGATGAAAATGAAGGTAATGATGGCAGCCATGGCGGTGGGTAGGTGGCAATGACGATGATGTCATTCTTAATATGAATGACAATGGGGCGAAAATTAAAAGGAGCAACGATGGAGGTAAACGAATCGAAATGTCCCGAGGAAAAAAAGAAAGAAGAATGATGTATGGCCGGCGGCAGCAAACTAGTGTAAGAGGAACAGATGGAAAAGGGGTGAGGAAGAAGAAAGAGTATTTATTTTCCACAAAAACGCCTAATTAAATATCTTTACGCGCCTATCTGAGGTGAATCACAAACAATGTGTCATGTAGGCAAAAAATGTTTATACGGTTCAAATTCGGAAGGGCAGAGGTGTTCAATAGGTACAAGTCTTAGTTGAGGTGTCTTAGTGAATTATGCGGATAACTTTAAGGGGTTGCACATGAGATTAACTTGTGTGCACTGACAGTGGAACTCTTTTTACGTTGTCACTTAACTTTAAGGCACACAAAAGTTAAGTTTTTCAATTTGTTTTTACTTTTTATTTTATTGAACATAAATATTAAATATAGTGTTAGAAGGTAATTAGGATTCTAAATATAATTTTACCAAATTAGTTTAGGATTCTGTTTTTTTGACTAACAAAATTATTTCATCGTCATTCTTGTTTCGCCATTTTTGTTTTAGCGAGTATTGTTGTTTCTTCATATCACCATCATTCACTTTAAGGCACACAAAATCCGGGCTTCTTTTATGCAATACAAATGGATGTAGAAGGCCATTTAGCTAATTGTTTTTGGGTAGATGCTATGTCTAGGATAGCTTATAATTTTTTTGGTGATGTTGTCATTTTTTATTCTACGTACTTGACAAATAGATATAAGGTGCCTTTTGTCCCATTTATCGGAGTTAATAACCATTATCAATCCATTTTATTTGGTTGTGCTCTTCTTTGGGATGAAACTCAAGAAACTTTTGAGTGGTTACTTCGCACTTGGCAAGAGGCAATGTTTGGTGTTATGCCTCGTAAAATTATCACGGATCAGGATGTTGTAATAACAAAAGCAGTTGCAAATGTGTTTCCATATTGTGCACACCACTTTTGCATGTGGCACATTGAGAAGAAAATTCCTGAATATTTAAGTCATGTCTATCATCACTTTTATGATTTCAAAACAAAGTTTAGTAAGTGTCTACATGGTACAACAACGCTTGAGGAATTTGAAGTTGTTATAAGAACCTAAGATTTGAAAGAAAATAGTTGGTTGCAAAGAACATATGCAATTCGTGAAAAATGGATTCCAGCATATGTGAGAAGGAATTTTTGTGTTGGAATGTCAACAACTCAAAGAGGTGAAAGTATGAACAATTTTTTTAAGGATTATCCTAACTCTAGTACACCGATGAGTGTATTTGTAGCACAATATGAAGCTATTGATGCTAAAGTTGGTACCAAATTTTACTTATACACCTTAACTGGGCTTTGCTCATTTTAGACACCTTATGTAGATTTCTGCTATATCATTTTGACACTTTTTGCTTACATGGCATAGTGAGTGTTATACACACACTTACTGCGCGTGAAAGCCTTATTTCACTAAATTTTTTTCTCTTCTTCTTCTCCATTTTCTAGCTACCATTTCCCAAACTTAAATTTTTCTATGGTAAAACAGATTTAGTGATGCCACAAATAAAAAAGTAAATTTAAGCCCACAAGATATCCTAAAAGTTTAAATTTCAATACTACGAAATAATATGATATTTCTTTTTCAAGTATTTGAATCATTTGCACCGAATTGCAAAAAAAAAAAAGCTTCCATTGTTAATTAATAACTAATATTTAGAAGTAAAGAAGAAAAAATCGTACTTTTATAAAATAAAATTTTCAAACTAATTAAATTCTTTTGAAAGTGTTCCTTGAAAATTTGATATGGGTGGAAAAGGGGTTGAGGTTGGAGTGGGTGGGAGTGGAGAGGACGATTTGGTGGCTGGTGGGGTGGAGGAGCGATTGGGGTTGGGGTGGGTGGGGTGGAGAGGAAGATCTGGTGTCTACTGGTGGGGTGGAGGAGCAGTTGGGGTTGGGGTGGGTGAGGGTGGAGAGGAAAACTGGGTTGGGTGGGGTGAAGAAGACGATTGGGTTGGGCATGGGGTGATGATTTTTTCTTTAAATAAAATTATTGTTTGAGTTTAAAATGTCACATGTCATCAAATCTGTGGCCATCTTTTTTCTACTCAAAAGTCATTATTTGAAATTTATTATATATATATATATATACCACGTGTCTTTGTTTGATTCGTCACTTCGACACGTCATCAACGAGTGTATTACACATACTTGTATATTTGGGTGATTGTAAAAAAAAATGTCAAAATGACCAAACAAGACCCTACATAAGGTGTCTAAAATGAAGCTAGTTGAAGTGTCTAAGTGAAATTTAGTGTCAACTTTAGGGGGTTATCAATGGGTTGAGCCTTATTATTATAATACCAATGTCATTTATTTTCGGTCCAATATTAACCATTTTTATAACGGATAGTTAATTAAATAATTTTAATTTTCCTAAATACTTAGTGAATATTTATTGGTTACATTTTAAGTTACTTAAAATTAATGAGAAAATTACACAACTAAACAAACATATACTGGTTAATTATTTATAAAATAATTTATAGATGCAGTTTATTATCGAAGATGCACGGTGTTCTTCCAATTCTTTTCAAGATGATGAAAGCTCTCTATTTTCTTTTACAAATTCTTAGAACTTTCTATACTCGTAGAGTCGTAGTTGATCGATGACATAAAATTCTTATTACTATAATAATTCATAATATTTATTTATTTTTTTCTTTACCCCTCATTATGAATAATGATTTCGCTAAATGTAGGGATGACAATGGGGTGGCGGATTGAGCTTAACCCGTAATATGTCCCGTCCGTATAATAACTTTTTTTCATATTCAACCCGCCCCATTTAACCCCGCATAGACCTGCCCGCATAATTTCTTTTAATATTTATTTTTCTATTTAAGTTTGATAATAAAATAAAATTCATAAAAATAAATTTATTTTTTCATCAAGTTGTATTAATTTAATAGATAATGACTTGAAAATTTATTTTTAGAGATCTATTGGGAAACATGTAAGAAATTATATTATTTTCTTATTGAACCACTTTCATTTATTATCTTAAATAATTTAGTAACTTTAAAGAAATTATCTTAATAAATAATGCTCTATCAGTCTTATAACATGTAAAAAGTTAAAATTAAGTTTGAACCCGCCTCGCATTAGTTTTTTAAAAACCCACTTCAACCCACCCACACAACCTTAAACCCGCTCCGCATAGCCTTAAACCAACCCCCACTACATCTACCCTGCCTCATTGCCATTCCTAGCTAAGTGTACTTAGGAATTTTTTAATTAATTATTTTTACAATTGTTCATATTATATATATCCGCGAAGCAATTCTGTGTTTGGATTAAGTTATTTTGGGACGGATGTAGTTAATTTCGATCGGATATAATTAGAAATGGTTGAGATGTTATTAAGTAATTCAAAATATAACCAATAGACGATCGCCATTTATTTAAAAAAAATCATTAAAATTATTTAAATGATTGTCCATTATAAAAGTGGCCAATATTCGACCAAAAATTGGATGAAAGGAGGCTGTTTGAGAGCCAATAAGTGGACGGGTGATGATTTTGTACCACTTTATTCCAGTGTATTTTATACCCTTTTTCATTTTCTCAATGGTTATTGAAGTTTTGAAAATTATCGTTAAGTATTATTATTATTTTATTTAATATAAAATAATCACTTAACTATTATTATTTTTCATGTCATTAAAGCTTTTTTTTCTTAAATAATAAATCTATTTAACTAAAATTATTATCTTATTATTTGTTATTAAAAGAATATATTAGTTTATCAAGAAGTAATTTGCATGTTTAAGAATTTTTTCCGATACATAAACTTTATATTGTTTTCCTAAATAGTTACTTATGTTTTGAAAATTGTCTACACGAATCATTTTTATTTTTTTAAAGATGATAATATCACTCACTTATTATTATTTTTCTCAAAAAGTATTAGATACCTCAAACGTCTCCTTTTATTCTAGTTGATATGTCACGTCATTAAACTATCATTTTAAAAAATAATAATGAATCTATTTAACTCATCAGACACATGTCTCTGCAAGAATAAAAGTAAATTACATGCATAGAAATTTATTTGAACATTATACAAAAAATAATTCACAACTAACCTAATACCCTACAGATTTTTCTATCAAACAAAATATAATGAGTTAAATATGGCTAATATTAAAAAAAAAAAAAAAAGGTGTAAGGTATAGCATGCCAACTAGGAGTGTCAAAAGAACATGAAAAATTGATCGAACCGACCGAATCTAATCGAATCGAACCGATTTTCGTCATTCTATCAACAAAATCGTGGACTTTTATTTAAGTGTATAATCGTCCCGAACAACTAAGATGGTCTTTTTAATTTATGAAAAAATTAAAAAATTTCCGAACCTAACCGAATGACCTTATGTGTATGTAAATATATTTTATATATTAATATGTTAATTTTATATATAAACATATTTTATAATATTTTTAAATATAAATATAATCTAGGTCCTACGTCTCTGGTGACTAGACGACTTAGAGTTTGCTCTTTAATTAGTCTTTAATTAATTGAGTTTAAAATTAAAAGATACTATATCAAGCAATATGACAAAATCTATGCAAACACTCCTTTTATATGTTTAAGATCAAACAATATGGCAACAGAGTTTTACATTCTTGACTTCCCGGTGAAGAATTGAAGTGTTTTTTCAAGAACATATTTGTGAAAGGAGTATTTTAATTATAATATATTTTGAGGTGATATTTTAGTAAAAAAAATCGAAAAAATCTAATTCTGGTTATACATTATAAAATACCGGAAAAATTGAAATGATATATTTTTTTAAAAATAACCTACCGAACTATCCCATTGACACCCCTAATGCCAACTAGAAGGGGAAAAAAAGGTTTTTGAGATGATTAGTATTTTTGGAGGAAAATACTGATAGTAAAATGATATTTTTATCTTAATGAACAGAAGTAACTTTAAAACTTTGAATGCAATTTTCAAAACTTGAATAAATATTTAGGAAATTAACGCTAATTTTGGGTTAAAAACTTATTAACTCGTAAAAGTCTAAAAATGTACTTTCATTTATTTAACCAAATTATGTTATAAATTCATTGAATTGTGTGGATTGTCCATTAGATTTATTAAAGAATTAATTGAACTAGTATACGTATCCGTACGTTGCGCGGATATTTTAAAATATAATAATTTTTAAATTTATGAATAACTAAATACGAATTATTATTAAGTAACAAAAGTTCATGTATAATCATATATAATGTTTTAATTTTTCATATACAAATAATGCTAACAAAATTTTACCATAATTTATGTGTAAATAAGGGTATGTTCATAAAAGGCTCTAAACATTATACTAACAACTTCTCCTTCTTCTAATATGATGAAGATTAATAGCATATGTGGCGTGTGTTGAGTTGATATATTTGTGCCAATTAATTAAATTTTAAGTTCATAGATCAATCTAAAACCTAGTATTAAAAATATTAACTCTACTTTTAGATAAAATCTAAATATAATTTATAAAGCATGTTGCAACCTCTTTAGCACACTCTTCTCTCGTTTTATCCTACAAATTAAATTAAGATGTTTTTCATTTACTCAAATATAATTTCATAAAATTAGGATGTACAAAATAATGAATTTCAATGATCAATTAAAAAAAATACTATAATCAAATTAATATATACCACATAAAAATAAATTATCAAATTATATACCACATAAAAATAAATTATTTGCAGAGCAAAACAAAAATTGAAAGATGAAAAAAACGAATTATCTTCTATTCCTTTGATTTACTATAAGTCTCTTCTTTTATATGATAATGCAATAATATTAATGATAAAAAGAAAGTTTTTGAAAATGGAAAGATGAAATAGCACTTTGCAAGTCATTATTCATTTTATGAATATTTTCTCAATATGTTAGGTTGCTAAAGAAATAAAAACTACACCACAAATTTAAATTTTATTGTTTAACTATTCCTTTATTAATGTTTTCTTTTTCTTATTTTTTCGTTAATTGTTTCATTTTTATTTATTTTGTATCATGACATTCTTTAATTTATTTTGTAATCAAATAGTGACACGATAAGAATTTGCCGTTTTTATTTTCTATAATATTGCTCTTTTTAAATTAAAAAAATTCTTCATCCAAAAATAAAGTAGATTTAATAGTTTAAACTTTGAAATGCTTTATTATGAAAATTTCAATTATATTTAGTATTTAAATTTAATCTATTTTACTAATCAATAAATTTAGTATTATATTTAGTATTTTTTTAATCAATTTTTAAATTTACTTATTATATTTAGTATTTTTTTAGTTCTTTATTTTATTTTTATTTTTAGATTTTAGATTTTAGATTAATTTTACTAATCAATAAATTCTGTTTTCTTAGGAAAATCACTGTTTTTAACTTCTTCTTTTTTTTAAAAAAATCACTTTTAAATTTATCTATTTATTTATTATTAGATTATTATTTTATTCTTTCTTTTATTAAATAGGGCATGTTGTATGGATAGAATTTAATAAATTTTAAAAAGGAAAAAGTAACTACCCATTTCCTACGAACAATTTTAACTTCTGTTTTTTAAAATCAGTTTTAAATTTTAATTTTTAAATTTACTTATTATATTTAGTATTTTTTTGAGTTCATTTTTTTTTTAGATTTTAGATTAATTTTACTAATCAATAAATTCCGTTTTCTTACGAAAAACCACTGTTTTTAACTTCTTCTGTTTTTAAAATCATTTTTAAATTTTATTTTTTTATTTATTATTCGATTATTTTTTTATTCTTTCTTTTATTAACATATTGTATGGATATAATTTAATAAATTAAAAAAAAAAGGAAAAAGTAACTACCCATTTCCCTCGAACAATTTTAACTTCTGTTTTTTAAATCAGTTTTTAAATTTACTTATCATATTTAGTATTTTTAAATTGAAAATAACTAACACAAATTGAAATTATTTAAA